AAAAAAAAAAAAAAAAGACTATAGGGGCGCCTGGGTGGCGCAGTCGGTTAAGCATCCGACTTCAGCCGGGTCACGATCTCGCGGTCCGTGAGCTCGAGCCCCACGTCGGGCTCTGGGCTGATGGCTCGGAGCCTGGAGCCTGTTTCCGATTCTGTGTCTCCCTCTCTCTCTGCCCCTCCCCCGTTCATGCTCTCTCTCTGTACCAAAAATAAATAAAAACGTTGAAAAAAAAATAAAAATAAAAAAGACTATAAAAGAAGATAATATGCTATCAAGCATAATTTGTAGTAAATGTCTGTTAAAAGTCAGTGATAATTCACCTTACATCTACAAAACTCATAAATCCATATGTTAGCAAGCATATAAACATCTTAGATGCAAAGAAAGTATGTTTCTAAAATCATAATATTTCTAAGATTTGGGGCTCCTGGTTGGTTTAGTCGGAAGAGCACACAACTCTTGATCTCAGGGTCATGAGTTTAAGCCCCACGTTGGGAATAGACATTATTTAAATAAATAAACAAACTTTAAAAAAAAAAAAGAAAAACTTAAAAAAAAAGACATAAGGTTCAAAATATCAGACTTTCTAGTCTACAACAGCATGTTCCAACTTTGAGTAAATTAACCATGCAAAAATATTAGCTTAACATAAGCAAATGAAAGACATAGTTGTGCCTAATTGGTTCTCCCTACCCTACCCTCTGAAGGACCACTTAAAACCTCTTAAGGTTCTCTAAAAACCACTACTATTCAATTCCTCTCTAAGCCTCAGTTTGAAGACTGTTAGAGACACAAAACTTAAGGCTTCACAAGATTCTATGCTTCATTTTACAAGTGCTTTCTGAAATATTCAAGCCCACAGAACACCCAAGCAGCTATTACACAGCTACATCAAAGCCTACATTTTATTAAACTTGCTTCGAAATTCCCTATGTATCATGTCTAATTCCACTCTTTTCCCTCCCCAGAAAAAATGACTATCTTGACTATTTATCATTCTGAAGCAAAACTTTGGACTTTATTATAATGCTTTCTTGAATGCTTTTTGTGTGTGTGTGTGTTTTAATATTTATTTATTTTTGAGAGAGAGAGAGAGCATGAGCAGGTGCCTGGGTGGCTCAGTTAAGTGTTGGACTTTGGCTCAGGTCATGATCTCGTAGTTTGTGAGTTCAAGCCCCACATCGGGCTCTGTGCTGACAGCTCGGAGCCTGGAGCCTGCTTGGGATTCTGTGTCTCCTTCTCTCTCTGCCCCTCCCCTGCTCATGCTCTGTCTCGGTCTCTCAAAAAATAAATAAACAAAAAAAAAAAAATTAATTAATAAGGCTAACATTCTTTTCATAAGTTGATCAGTGAATGGTGTTTCCCCTTTGTGAACTGCATGTTCATATTTTTGTTGTTTTTATCCTTCATAGTTGTCATTTTCTTCTGAATCTGTAGTTCCTTAGATATTCTAGATTCAAAATACACGTGCTGCGGGGCACCTGGGTGGCTCAGTCGGTTAAGCGTCCAACTCTTGATTTCAGCTCAGATCATGATCTCTTGGTCTGTGAGATTGAGCCTCGCATTGGGATTCTCTCTCCCCCCTCCCTCTCTGCCCCTACCCTACTTGCTCTCACTCTCTCTCAAAATAAACAAACTTAAAAAAAAAAAAGTGTCTATATGTGTGTGTGTGTGTGTGTGTGCGCGCGCGTATACACATATATTTACGTACCGAAATTATTTTCTCCATTTTGTGGCTTGTCTTTTTACATTGTGGCACCTTTTTTGCACAGACATGCTTATTTTAAACATGGCCAAATCAATCTTCTTGTCATTGTGCTTTCATAGTCTCATTTAAGAAAACCTCTCCTACTCCTCAAAGTCATTCTTTCTTATTTCTTGTAGAGATACAAAGTTTTCCCCAAATTTACCTTTTCCATTCAGAAGGATTTTCATTTTGCTTATTATACGAGAGGGGTCTAATTTTATTTCCTCAATGCGGACAACTAGAACCTCACTGATTTAAAATGCCACTTACGTCTTATAGCAAGTTTATACGGTTGTGACAGTTGTGTGCACAGGGCGGGGATGGGAGTGAAAGTATGTACGTGTGGGAGTGTGTGTGTGTGTGTGTGTGTGTGTGTGTTTAATTTACTTATTTCAGTTATGGCCTCTAAAGCTAATCAACCTAATCCACAGGTACCTCTTCAAATATTTGAAGAATGGAATTATCTGCCACTTCTCAGGTCTCCTTAAGGTTAAACGTGTCTATTTGTATTCTTTCAATGATTCCTCCTAGAACAAGGTTTCCATCCTGGCTGCCTTTTAACTAACCTTTCAAAGTCCTTCTTAAAATGCAGTCTCAAGCCTAATACAATGCTCCAGACACTGTCTGTTAAGTGCAAAACACCTTTTTTCAAACTAACATCTTCTGAATGGCTACTGTTTGCAGTGTTCTTTGCTCAGCTAACTTACTCATCACTCTACTTTTGTTAATATGGTCCATTAATTTTTTTCTTTTGTCCTTTTCCAAGTTTATTCCTGAAGTATAGTTGCCACATAGCAATCCACCATGAGCTCCCAAACCTCTTCCAAGTACAAGATTCGTAGCCAGGTCTCATTTGTTCACCTGTTGTTGTTTTTCCAATCTAAACTCAGAAAACCTCCAGTCTTATAATATTACATCTTACCACTGGGTCCAGATTTTGTTATCTAACATATTAGCTATTCTCCTCTACCTGAAAACTGGTCTAGCATGTAAACTTTAGATTCACTCAAATCTCCCATTCATTTATAGCACTGAAGAATTTGCAGTATCCCTCTAAGGTAGCAGACTTACAGACACATAAATACTAACTTTCCAACCATCCACCATCATCAAACTCACTCTCCTTTATGTCTCCCCACAAGAAATAGTATGTCAATTCTCTTGCTTAAATCCTAATACACAGTATCTTTGGCAGTATCTGGTCTACTAACTCCATAGAAGGAAAAAAGAAAATTTCGGTTTGCCAAGGACTAAAGTCTTAGTGGGGCAACGTTATTCCCAGACCACTTCTATTCCTGTTCAAAAATTACCCGTTTAATCATCAATTCTAGAATTCTGCAAAAAACACTGAATCAAGCTCACTATTCTAGAATTGATTTAAAATTTGTGAGGGGACTAAAAAGTAGTGAACTTATCCACTTACTTGAACATAATTGATGAAGTCTTCCTTAAAAAGAGCTCTTCGCTGTATTTTGTATTCCAGATCTGAAGCCTTCTTAATGATAGCCCTGAGGAGAAAGCCATTTAAGATATAACAGTTGAAAAAAGCAGAAGTTAAATAATTTTGGAGTTTTAAGTTTATTTTAATATATTTAAAATACAATATATATATTAAAACATTTCCAAAACCTGAAATTCCTAAATTATCCTTCATAAGCAAGTTTTCTCTTACCTGATTACTTCTGTGTGCTTAGGGTGTGTGCATCAGGATTTTTTTTTAAATGTTTATTTATGAGAGAGAGAGACAGAGTGTGAGCAGGGGAGGGGCAGAGAGGGAGACACAGAATCCGAAGCAGGCTCCTGACTCTGAGCCGTCAGCACAGTCTGACATGGGACTTGAACTCACAAACCGTGAGATCATGACCTGAAGTCGGATGCTCAACCGAGCCACCCAGGCGCCCAGTATTTTAAAATTTTCATGAAAATCATCTTGTAGTCAACTGCCAGGACCACTGACATTCTCACCAGCAAAGCAAATAATGTTAAGTACTTTACATTATTTGTATGTGATATTAGTAAAGATTTCTTTCCCTCCAAATTCTGGTCACTTGGGTTTTAATAATAACCAAGTATCTTTTCTAAATTCCTTACTTCTGAGTTTTCCAACACTCAAACTAGAAAAAAAAAAAAAAAAAAAAAAAAAAAAAACCACCTAGATTGTCTCTACTGTCTCTATCTAGAAAGGTTTATTAACAGTACAAAGGACTCATGGGAAAGGATTGACTGTATTTAGCTAAAGAGAAAACACAACATGTGTATATTAAGAGAATTTAATGCAAGATGTACGAAGTCAATTACTGTCTCTAGTTAATGGTAATAGTAACATTTCCTGAACACGCACTGAGCGTCCACACTGCTGGAACACCTGGGTGGCTCAGTCAGTTAAGCAATGGACTCTTGATTTTGGCCCAGGTCATAATCTCACGCTTCTTGGGTTAAAGCCTGGCATCAGAACCTCTTGGGATCCTCTTCCATTGTCTCACTGCCCTTCCCCCTACTCTCTCAAAAATAAACATTAAAGAAAATTTTTTTGAATCCACACTATGCTGCATTTCACTAACAAAGGTTTACTTCAAGGCCCCCATAGTCACATTACTACATTCCCAGCCATTGTAAAATGCAGCAACAGTCACAGAAAACCACTAAAAAATATTAGGCTTAATTGTAACAACTTACTGAATGCCAACCTCGTGCCGGACGTTGTTGGCTAAACCCTGGGGTAGAATACGAAATTGAATTAAATGGTCCCCATCTTCAAGTCTTACTAGAAAGATTTATCTCTTGGCACCCACTGCAGTTTGCATCTCTAGAGCAGTACAAACAGACCACCGTGCAACGAATGAGAAATTCTGGGAGTCAACAAAATCTGAAAATGGGCTTCTGCCATGTTACAAAAAATAAACACAATTAGGTGCCCCGGCATCCCTGCCCCCCCAGGCTCCCCCCTCCCTTCAGCCCGCCCCAGCTCTTCCACTTCCTCAGCTCTTTCTCACTTAATCTCCGCATGACTGAACAATCCAATACGCTCCAGCTGTTCCAATTCGGGGAGTCGATCTTCTATGCGTTCCTGAATTATCTCCGCCATGAGGTCACAACTCTACAGCCCACCGGCGAGCCTCTCGACCGCCAACACGCGTACGAAGCAGCCACCATCTATTCCGGAGACCTAGCCCTAGCGTTCGCACGTGCTGACGTAACGTGCGCCCTAGGTCCCGCCTTTTCCGCTTCCGCCGCCTCCGCCGTCGGAGACCGCCCTCCGGCCCTTGCGGCGGCTGTCACCTCTCCGAGGCCGACTGTGGGGCTTCCGCGGAGCACCCCTCCGGCTCGGGAGGATTCACGTGAACTGGAGTGGAGGGGCGGGGCCAGAGTGGGGGCGGGGCTAGACGAGCCCTGGGCTAAACGTGGGCGGGGGTTCGAGAGAGCGCCTCCCAGTGTCTAGAGGGGTTACCTGAAAGGAGTGCAACTCGTTTCTGCAGAATACTGTCTCCTTTTATTCTATTGCGGGCCCATGTCTTCGCTTTCCAATAGTAAACGTTTCAAAAAGTCAGTAATGAAAAGCGTAGGGAAACTGACCAGATATCCATAACACTATAGCTTTGCTTTCGGCTAGGTTAGTAAACCAGTGTGGTAACACCGGTTTTTCACCTGCCAATTAGAATCTCTAATTGGCTGATTCATTTTAAAATAGGAAGACCTTTTCATTATTTAAACAATTATTCCGCCTTTATAGACAAGATCTTTTCAAAAACACATGGCCCTGGGTGGGTATCAGAAAGTACGTATATTTTTTAGAAAAGGGGAGCTTGGTATTGAAAAGTTTGGGAGTTACGAAACTAAATCAGTAAGGTATGGACCCTCCTTAAACCATTGCCCAAGGAGGTTAGTTAGCATTTCTAAGGGAACCATCAGACAACTCAGCTTGGAAGCGACATTGTTGGTATAATTGCTAAACCTAAAATAATAACTACATGAATCAGTTCTTTTTAAGTTCTGGAAGATGCTTAAAAAACCAAAGCAGGAGTTCTTGCTAGACCTGTTTATTTCAACATTTGCATTAGCACCTTGTGATTTATGAAAGGGAATAAGCTTAACAGGTAACCATGTTCCGCCTCTGTGCCTTTCCTGTTTTTTTTTTCCTTTCACACTTTACCCCACTGGTCTCAGAAGTGAGGCAAAGGTTGGCTTCAGCTTCATTTCTTGATCCCTCAGCTTTAAGACACGAGAGAGGGGAAGAAACTCAGGGATGTAAAATAAAGATGAAATTTCCTTGTAACAGAAAAATCCCCAGTCTGTGTTAGGAGTAAGAGTAGGAATGTCACTAGATAGTAAACTCCAAATGGGTAGGGAATATTTGCTTTGTTCACTAAGACATCTGGGAGCTTACAACAGTGCCTAGAAAATAATAAGTGCTCAATTAAAAAATGCCTGAGAAAATAACAAAAGGCATTTGCTAAATTTATTTAGGACCAAGGGGCTCAGCCAGCTGAGAGATTTTAATCTTTCATATCAAGGTTAATTTGATAGATACCTATGATTTTCAAATCAACTATACTCTCCTCCCTTATTTTCAAATTTAGCATCTATGTTTATGTTGTTCTAAGAATCATTATAATAATATTGGCAAAGCCTTCTTTTATTTCCTCTACATCTCAATATAATAGCTATCTCTTATCTAGTGCTTCTATGTACCCAATCACTATGTGTACTAAGTTCCTTATGTATTAACTCACTCTGATCACAAATATTTTAAAATATCAACTCAAAGAGCTCTTGAAAAGGTAAAAAAACAAACAAAAAAACACACCTGCTAGAGGAAGCCCAGTAGAGGCAGAAGAAATTGTGTTTGAATAATGTCCATTGAGTCTCAGAATCCTTAGCTGAGCACACTTTCTAGTTAAGAAACCCTAAGGCCAGAGAAAAAGTGCTCTTGAGTCTGGAGCTCTAAGGTGCACCTTGGAAAACTTGACATTTCTTTTATTCTTTCATTTGATCTTTAAAACTCACCATGGATGTCAGATTGATTAACAGGCACTAACTGGGAGGGGGCACAGGAGAGCCCTCTGAATGTTGGAAGTGTTCTATACCTGGCTGATCTGGGTTGTCATTATACATATGCATGGATAATGTGCATATGTAGAAATCTATCCATTGAGATACATACTTAAGATTTGTACACTTTATGAAAGTTACACTTTAAAAGAAAGCATTAATGAGCAGACCCTCTCTTTGAGGATATCATTCTCTTCAAAAGCTTCAGTTATCATTTGTATATATGTGGCAGGGTCAAAATATTGAAACACAAATGATCAAAGCCCTCTCCCTGGGCAAAAGAGTCCATACAAATTTTACATTCTAGCCCACAATGTATTATTATTCATTTTATTTTTTAATTTTTTTGTTCACAATTTCTTTTTTTTAAGATTTCATCTTTTTAAGTAATCTCCACACCCAATGTGGGGCTCGAACTCACAACCCTGAGATCAAGAGCCACATGCTCTACTGACTGAGCCAGCCAGGCGCCCTTAATATTTGTTTTAAGGGGCGCCTGGGTGGCGCAGTCGGTTGAGCGTCCGACTGCAGCCAGGTCACGATCTCGCGGTCCGGGAGTTCGAGCCCCGCGTCAGGCTCTGGGCTGATGGCTCGGAGCCTGGAGCCTGTTTCCGATTCTGTGTCTCCCTCTCTCTCTGCCCCTCCCCCGTTCATGCTCCATCTCTCTCTGTCCCAAAAATAAATAAACGTTGAAAAAAAAAATTAAAAAAAAATATTTGTTTTAATATAAACTTTTGTGATTTTTTTCCAGATTGTCATGTAAGATTAATTTCAGAAAGGTGTATGTTACTCACCTCATGCTGGAGAAACATTTGACCTCATTACAGTGCTTATGAGCCAGTTTGGAAAATAGAGAAGAGGGTGTCTCACTTAGGGTCCCAAGACAATGTCTTAAGGACTCTGACAAATGAACAGTAGCCAGAATTTGCAGATCAAGTTAAAACATCTATTCTTGTCCCCAAAGTACTTACATGTAAACTTCAAAATAAACTTGAACTTTTCCTTAGAATTATCCATTCCTTAGAATATTCACGAAGATTAAGTTCATGGACAGCTCAGCGATTAAAAACAAGAAAGGAACGCTCTCTTTTTTTTTTTTTCCATTATTATTATGATGATGATCATTATTATTAGATAAAGAGAGGTACCTAATGTCAGTGATAATGAGAGGTGTGACACCTGGAATCCCATCCCCCTACCTTGTTCGAAGTCCCCTGCCTGCTTCTCCCCTCACAGAGCTCTGGGTAGACTTCAAAGTCAAGCAGAAGTGATAGACACAGACTGGTCTTTGATGCCTAAGAACATCGGAGCCCTCAATTTCATGTGAATGCAAAGCATCTGTACTTTTCAAACCTTTCATGTTATCTCACGTTGCTAACAACAAAAGCTGAAAAGTTTGAGGTGACACACATTACACACATTAAAATATTTGGAACCAGGAACTTTTCATTTCTTTTTCTATTATATATAGCTTCTTTTACTTTGCAAACCACACTGGATAGTAAATTACTTCTGGCACGCAGCCTTGTCAGCTTGCCAAGTTTCAACTGGAGCAAGTTTTTACAGCCGGGCTAATAAGCCCTGAAAATTAGGAGGTAAGTATAATGGAAATAATGACATAGTCTTTAACTGCAGGAGCATAGAATGACAACGTGAGATTCTAATAGAGTCTACTTTGAAAAGTTTTTTTTTTTTATTCTAATGAAATCTTTTTTTTTTAATTTTAGGTTATTCTAGTTCAAAACACATGTAAATGGAAAGAGTTTCTTTTAATTGGTGAACAGCATTTTTGTGGGTTTTTTCTTGTGGCTTAGTTATTGCTTTTTGCAAACTTGAAAAAAAAAAGAATAACAAAAAGAAAACCAAGAATATGGTAGTTTGGGGATAGCAACGTACTATTAAAACAAACTGACATCTTGGAAAAACATGTTCTGAAATGATTGGCTTCCAGGATGGGGCTTGGCGATTGTGTATGAGTACATTTCATCAAAGCCATAGCTGATTAGGTACGTCAACTTTTTTTTCAGTTTGCCCCCACTCCAGATAGAAACCCCCTCCCTGCTGAAGTACCTCCCAGGTCTTTATCGAACAAAGCTTCAAAAAATTGAGAGTGAACATCACACTTAATTTTTTATCACTGGAAGAAATAGTATCTGTTCTGAGGTAAATATCCATTTCCCTAAATTTAATTCTCACATCCATTTTTGCTCACAATTTACAAGTTGATGAGGAAATTTTTTTACCCTTCTCATTTTGCCCTCCAATTAGACCTGAACTGATTAGCCTCAGCACCTCATGATCAGTCCCAAATTGTTTAAGCAAAGAAGAGGTTTAGAGTTCTGTGTGTGTGTGTGTGTGTGTGTGTGTGTGTGTGTGTTTAACTATACTAAAATAATATGGCCTTGCTCCAGAAATGCCAGCTTTCTTATAGTTCCCCACCATACCACGCATGCTATTTTAT